GGGTGTTAGTCAGCTAGAATATTTTTGATAGAAGTGACACAAATTTTCTTATGGGATAATTTTTTAATGTGAGATATTTTAATAGGACAATTGGGAGTAATTTTCTAAAACATGATATTTTAGTGGGACAATTGTTAGTATAATTAAGGATATTTTTCAAAAATCAATAATTACATAAGTCATGTATTTTGATGATAAGACTACTATTTATATATTTTAAAACTTACTATTATTATTAATTATTTACTTTAGTGTTAATTAATTTTGAAGAACTATTTTGATAATAATAATGTGTAACTATTTGATTTTTTTGGAATTATTATTGTAATATAAATTAAAAAACATAGTTTTTTTTTTCTTTTTTGTCTTTCTTATTCGATCTACAGACATCATTCTATCATCTCTCAATTTTAATTAATTTTTAATAAAACATGAATATTATAATTTTTAAATTTAAATTAATTGTACAATTCAAATATTTAATAAAAAGTAAAAAATAACATCACATAGAAGGGGGTCAGCAGCAATAAAGGGATTCCCACGCCATCACATAGAAGGCGGTAAGAAGAGATGTGATGTAATTTTATGATGTGGTTTGAAGATGATGGAGAAATAAAATATGAAAAATAAAAAAATAAATAAAAAAGTTCTAGTTTTTTATCGTGTAGTTCCCGCTTAAAACTTGGAACAATTTGAGAGACTAGAACTCTCTCTTTTCTATACAAATTTGATAAAAGTGGGATAAATTTTTACAGTTATCCCAGTTCTATTTTTTTATCTCATTCTTATTTACTAACACCATATAATTTTATCTTAGTTTTAGTTCCAATGGACTAACACTATAAAAAATTGTCCCACCAATTATCACAGTTCTAATTTTAAGTTCTACTTGACTAAGTCCACCTTAGGGTATTAAAAAGCTATTGTTTTGCAATTTAAGGTATTTATATATATGCTATTTTCTAAAACTTAGGGTATTTAAGGATAAAGGTAATAAAACAAAAAGGTATTTAAGTCTCATATATCATTTGGAAGGTAAAAGGTAGTATAATGAGATCCAAATTAAGAACGGATGAACAGATCTCTCGTCTTGATGTCCTTATGATCTCCGTGTTTGACCAGTTAATAGTCGTAATGTGAGAGAGATGGCGTGGGAATCCCTTCGATAGGGAGGGGGTCAGCAGCAATAAAGGGCAATATGATTAGTTTAAGACGATCGAGAGTCCCTCCCCCTTGAACTGAGGTTAAGGAAGCGTGTTGCGGGATCCATTGCACGTGCATCCTCCACGGACTTTTAGGCTTTCTCCTCTTCTATTCCCTTCTCTTCACCCCCCTTTTTGATTCCTGTGTGCGCGCGGCCTCAAACTCAAACTCTTGTAATAAATTTCTACCAAATCTTTGATGAATGACAGCAATATCACACCCATATGACGAGCCACCTTATTACTAATTTACTATGCGCCTGTTCTCATTCTTATTAAAGTCAAAAATAGTGCACAAAAATATTCGTATCTAAATATCGTTATCTATTAGGATGCGAAAATAGTTAATACGATCTATAACCAATAAGATATATATATGGTTATAGATAGGCTTATTTGTACTTAAATATCTTATAGTTTTCCCTACTTTGCGCTTATATACTATCACTTGTTTTTGGTAGCACTTATATATCCTAAAGTTTCTAAAACTTATACTTATGTACCCTAGCCTGTTTTGGAAGCACTTATATATCCTAACATTTTAAAAGAAAATGCCATTTGGCACGCAAGATTAGGCGTGCAACCCATCTCGCATGCCACAACAGGGTGGTGGGACCCACAGCCAGATGTGGGTCCCATCCCCCTATTTGTGGCACGCGAGATGGGCTGCACGCCCAATCTTGCGTGCCAAATAGCAAGGTTGTATTTTAAAAACATGCACTTAAATACCCTATCATTTTTAAAACTTACACTTAAATACTCTAGGCCTCAGTTATGCAAACTTGATGATGGTATTTAAGTGCAAGTTTTAAAATTTTTGGGTATTTAAGTGAATGTTTTTAAAACTTTATGAGTGCTGTCAAAACAAGTGAGGGTATATAAGTGAAAGTTTTAAAATTTTTAGGGTATACAAATGCTGTCAAAGATAAGTGAGGGTATATAAGTGCAAAGTAGGAGAAACTATAGGGTATTTAACTACAATTAAGCCTTACAAATATGATTACATAGTGAAATATTCGGATCCATATTTGAAAAATCCAAATATACATTGGTCACGTTGTTGCAACAATTTTAATCCTTGGATTAATGGATTTGAGATTAAATTTGGTGATCAAGATATCTAATCTTATCTTTTCATACATAATGAATATATTAATGGACTATGTTCTATCATATGAACTATATTTTTTTAATATTATCTAGTTTTCACCCCTACTTAAAGTCTATCTAATCATTACAGATGTTGTGGTGAGAATTGAGAGTTATATTTTTATATTTGAACATTGTCCCCCACAGGTCGAGTGCCCATTTTGTGGCCAGAAATATGGACTCAAGCAGTAGTGTCAATTTTTTAAAAAATCTGCTTAAATTTCATGGCCGGTGGGATTTAAACATGGGTTACTCTGGTACCATCTTAAAGTTCATCTAACTAATATTACACCAATCTCTGAAGTTGTGATTAGAGTTGAGGGTTATATTTTTTTATCCTAAAATCATCTTGTTGCATATTAGGTACACAATTATAACTCTTACGTGTTTTGTGAATTTACTACTTGTTGTGCGCGACAGAAGTTTGAAACCACACGAACAAGAACGAGATAAATCACAACTAATAAGTCAAACACAATACCACACCAAGACAAACGAATTTTGCGTGGTTCGGCAAGTTGCCTACTTTCACGGGGCAATCAGGGGGGAGTTCTTACTATTAGAAATAAAGAGAATACAAATAGGGTTACAAATCTCTCAAATAAACCCTAAAACAAAGCTTCTAGATCTCTCACAAATCTTTCACAATTGGATGCAACAATTCTCTCTCAAAGACTGTTCAAAACGTCATTGCTTAACCCTAATTAATTAAGATTAGACTTACATATCAACTCAGAAACGAACCGGGTCAAAACCTATAACCCAACTTAGAACCGCTAAGCGGTCGACCGCGACGATCTACCGTACCGTCATGATAGAAAGCAAAAACACCTACAGGGTCCTCACGGTTGACCGCTGCGATCGACCGAATCTCATCCCAAGACCAAAATCCATTAGAGGGTCTGTGCGGTCGACCGTGACGGTCGACCGCCTCACATCCAGAAATCCTCCTGAACCTCGTGCATGTTTCCGGTCGACCGCAACAGACTCACAGTCGACCGGCCAACTCCCTGGCAGTTTTCTTGTCTGTTTCCTAAGTTGTTCTTCGCCATGTTCGCCAATCCTTCACTACAAACGTATAGCTTTTGTGGTCTCTAGCATTGCATCAAAATTCCACATAGCAAGCACTTTAAAGTGATATTTGAGAAATCTAGATTTAAATCATATCAGCCAACAATTTAGAAGTGGCTTTAAAAAAAATTTATGCCGCTACGTGAGTTAAGATTTCAACTCAAGGGCACTCAACCTGTGGACACATTGTTAGATAAAATAGTATAACCCTCAACTTTCACCGTAACTTTAAAGTTTGGTGACGGGAATTTGAGAACAACAGAGTTAATCAAAATTCAATTCATAGTGTGGCACCTGACGTTCGTGCACAGGTCCATGGTGATGCCAGCCTGGGAAAGTCAGTCTTGAGGAGTCGACTTAGGATCCGGTTGCGAGGACGTTGTGCATGTAGCCGAGATTTGGGTAGATTTAGGATGAATGCGATGAATGATCGTATGCATGTATCTCGACTTGGTGCGGCAGAGCTCCTAGTACGGGTGTGAATGGTTCCGATTCCTTAAGAAAAAAGTTTCAACAGGTGGTATATTAGTCATGTTTTGAAAAAAAAAATATTCTTTTCTATTGGAATACAGCAAATATAACCCCGACAGAAAAACTAAGGGGGAGAGGTATAAAATTCTAAGTTGGGAGAATGCAGGGATAAATGAGTAAATATGTAAATTTTAGAAGTAAGTCTTCAAATAGGATTGATTTGAAGAGCACATATGCAAAAACAAACCAAAAAATACACTTATTTTTGTTATAAGCCCCTCCGGATTTTCGATTTCATCCTCTACTTAACAAGCATATCATGACTTTATTCTGATTAAGACTAGCTTTTTTGTTTTTGTTTTGTCTTGGGGTGGGGGGGGGCGCGAGGCCGCGTGGGTGGGTCGGTGGGGGGGAGGCCTCTGTTGGTGTGGTATACCATATAGTGCACATTGCTGCTAGAGAAAAAAAGGACCATAGTCGTCATTAGAGATAATACAGTATACAACCTCATAAACTTGCACTCTAAATACCAGTGTGAAATTAAATTCGCATTAATTGCTTGGAGTTCAATTAACCTAAAGCGTAATGTCGACCATGCAACATGAGGGACAATAGAAAACAAATAGTAGACAGACCATAAAATAAGCTGTGGGGGGGGGGGGCGGGGGGGGGGCACAGAATACGAAGAGGAAATGGAGAATAGAAGTGGAATATGGAATGAGAGCTGTAATTCTTTTTTTTTTCTCTGACTGACTACTTGACTCTATGATTGAGATTTGGATTCTCTTTTTCATTTGATCCACGGACTCCAAGTCTGGACACTTATTTACTCCTTATGAGGCCCATTTTTGGGCAGGTCTCCTGTTCAACAGACAACCCCCCATCTCTCCTTAGGATTTATCCCTTAATAAATCCAAAACCCATGCAGCCTCCTCTCAAACCCTAGGGCTACAATAATATGGGTTACTTTATTAATGATTTTAATTTACAGCTCTCCAACTCTTGGCCTATTTTAATAATACATAATCAATGCTACTTGCTGTTATTTTTATTTTCTTTGGTGGGTTGAATTTAGACTTCCTTAACCCTACTTCTTCTGCCTTAAAACACCATTCTTCTTTGCTCATCAAAGCCAACAACAAACACTTGTTTTACCTTTTGGCTTCCTCTCCTTGTCCTTTGCCATAGTTGAGGTATGTTAAGTTTTCTCAAGTACACTTTTTGCTGTTTTCTTTTGCTTGTTTTTAGATTCTTTTTTCCCCCTTTTACTAAGATTTGAGTTTCTAGTGGAAAGAGTATGAAAACTCTTTTCTGAAAGCCGTGCCCATGTTTGGGTCTTCTAACTCTATCTATTTATTTTTTGCTTTGTGTTTCAGCTTGTTATATAGTGTTCTTATTTTTCAAACCATTTATGTGTCTTTTTTCTTTTAGTGTGATTTAGAGCAAACACTTAGGTTTTGTATTAAAGTCTCAATAATATTTATAGTAATTAAATTATCTATAAAATTTCCCTTCATACTATCTTAGAAATACGAACTTTTAATCTAAAGAATGTTGAGATTTCAACTTCTTGTCATTTAGATGACAAAGAAACAAACCTATATCTTTTTTCCTATTTTTTATTAATTTTTTCCATGAACTTTATCTTGAAAATATGAGAACTAAGAAGCATATATATATCAGGGCACCAAAAATAAATCATTCATACTTTTTGTATTTATATCCATATTAGCCTTTTACTTGAGTACTAATTTCTTCTTTTCTTTCCTCTTTCTCCTTCTATATATGAACCCTCTTAATTAAGACTTTTCGATCTATTATGTTCTAGGTTTCAGATTTTGTCATCTAAGATACCATATATAAGAAGGAAGCATGAACGGACAGCTCACAGTCCCCCCGGGCTTCCGATTTCACCCTACGGATGAAGAGCTCCTCTACTATTATCTGAGGAAGAAAGTGGCCTATGAAGCCATTGATCTCGATGTCATCAGAGACATTGATCTCAACAAGCTTGAACCCTGGGATCTCAAAGGTTTGTCGCTGGACTATTCCTAGCCAGGGTCTAATTTGTATGCAAAACCCTAGTTTAATCTTATGACTGTCTTTTTTCCCCCCTCCCCTTGCAGATAAGTGCAGAATCGGAACTGGACCTCAGAATGAATGGTACTTCTTCAGCCATAAGGATAAGAAATATCCGACAGGGACGAGGACGAATCGGGCGACAACAGCTGGATTCTGGAAGGCTACAGGGAGGGACAAGGCCATCCACCTCAGCAACTCAAAGAGGATTGGGATGAGAAAAACCCTAGTTTTCTACACCGGGAGAGCACCCCATGGTCAGAAGACCGATTGGATTATGCACGAATACCGACTTGATGAAGGCTGCACAGATGTTCAGGTATTAGTTATGTCTTATAAGGACATTAAAGGCATTAAAATCATTGAGTTTATACTAAATGAGCTAATTACATGTTTATCCCTTATGTCAGGGACTAACAAGTTCTCTTCTTGAGGCAGAGATGTAATAACATGCGTTTCTTAATTTGTTTGTTATGGCCATATTTAATTTCTTTTGCTTATTTATATGATTCTTTTTGGAAAAAAAACTTATTCGTCTTCCCGTTGAACCGATTCTTTCGAATAGCAAACTAGGATGAAAGAAATTTGTATAAGGATATATATGACAAATTTAATTAACTATAAGATGACAAGACCTTATTACGGCTAATACAAATAACAAATGGTCCTTCTTCCCCATCATTTTGGCTAAGACAAGAACTACGTACTGTCTGCTTCTTAGTAAACATATCCGTGAGAACTTCCTCATTCGATCTCTTTCACTTTTGGCTAAGCTGTCAATTAAGATCCTTAAACACTGAGCTGCTTCTTAGCTAATTAATCTCTCGTGAGCATAGATAAAACTAGTCCTAATAATTAAAACCCCTTTTCACTTGGTGTTTTGTAGGAAGATGGATGGGTTGTATGCAGAGTATTCAAGAAGAAGAACCACCAAAGAGGCATCCCACCCCAATCTCTCCTCGAAGAAGAAGACTACCACCGACTCAGTCACCAACAACCAACCGGCTCAACCTCATTTGACCATAAACACGCCAACTACCAAATCCCCACCCCCTGCGATTTCTCCTTCCACAGCTCAATGCACCTCCCTCAGCTACTCAGCGCGGAGTCCTCAGTGCACCAGAACTTCACTAGCATCCCTCCTTCTTTGTCCTTGAACACCTTAGACCTGGAGTGCTCTCATAACCTCATGAAGCTCACTTCGCCCTCAGACTGGTCGATCTTGGACAAGCTCTTGGCTTCTCACCAGAACTTAGACCACATTTTTCATAACAACAAGTGCAGTCCTCCAACAGGGCAGGCTAGCATGGACATTGGCTCTGGAGGGCAGAAGTTTCCTTTTCAGTATCTTGGGTGTGATGCTCATGATCAAATGTTCAAGTTTTCTAAGTGAGAGGTTACTTGTTGGTTTGCTTTGTTTAGTTGTGATAATTAATTTTGGAGTATGCACTGCTTCTTTTATCATCTAAGTGTTTTCTTGAGGTTCATATTGAGCTTTTGAAATGTATATAAGTGCGCTATTGTTTTATGACGTGCATGTTGTGGATTGTTTGGGGTGTTTTTATTTTGGTTAAGAATTTGAAGGCTTTGGTATTTGTTCTTATTGATGCTAGGTTTTAAATCTCAACAATGTCCTTAATTATTAATACTTTACAAAATTTGTTTTATTTTGAGAAAGACAAGTTATGAAACTTCTTACTGTAGTGCTTCAAGATTTCAAACAGGGGGATTAAAGCTCACGTTGGGAATAGCTAGCTTCATCATTAATCTCGTTACAATTTGGTCTTTTTTTGTTGTCCATTCACGATGATCGATGTTATTGGATCTAGAGTGAGTGAGAAAGTGTCCATGCATAAAAGTGACAGAGCATGACTAAGACTTATGTGTAACAAGTACGAAGTGCTTTTTCTACACAAAATTAAACTGTTTTAGCATGTAATTTAATGTAATTAATGTTGGAGTTATATAATAAAGATAACTTAAAACTTGGGTTTGTAGAGGAAAGGAGGAAAACTTTAGTCCCACATTGGAAACGAGATGGGAAGATAGGCTCTTTATAAGCCTTCCCTTTCTCTCCTATGCCTAGAAGAAAACAAAGGTTATGCTCCACACCACACACGCGCGCGCCGGCCGGGCCGGGCTCGGGTCGGGTGGCGCGCGCACACGACCTGCGGACACGAATGCAGCTCCAGACTGAGGGGCTCTTAATCTGCTACATTTTTATTTTTGAATAATTAAAATATAATTTTTTTTTTGAACAATTAACATGTGATAAATATTTTGTCGCACACGACCTGCGGACACGAATGCAGCTCCAGACTGAGGGGCTCTTAATCTGCTACATTTTTATTTTTGAATAATTAAAATATAATTTTTTTTTGAACAATTAACATGTGATAAATATTTTGTAACATAAATATTTCGTAACGGTAAAAATTTATTAGTGTGATTAAAAACGTGATAAATATTTTGTGAATTTATTATGTAACGGAAGCGTTTTTTAATTTTATAACGGCTAAGCTTTATTAACGTGATTAAAACGTATTAACTACGGGTTTATGTATAACGGTTGTTTAACCCTATAAAAGGATCAAAACCCGAATAGTTTCATACAGTGAAAAATCAACAGATCTCTTCTCTCCTTCTCTTTTCAAAATAGTTTTCTGTTTACGCTGGTTCCCTGAAAGTGGTGAAGAATTCGCAAAACCTTCTTGAAGCTCGTGCCGACGAGAAGGAGGTCGCCTGACCGAGGGTCGTCGTATCTCCGAGATCTATTGCCGCGTAGCCCTGTACGAGAGGGGGCAATTAGTTTCTTGGGACATTGCTTTGCACGCTTCGATCATCAGGCCGTATTTCTAACTCTGTTTCTTTTTCATTTGATATATTTTATATCTGTGTTATAATAGTGATTATCTGTTAATTATTAAATTGCTTAAACTGATTTTCGTTATTGTCTAAACAGCTAATATTCTCAACAATTAATTTATGCTTAAAAATGTTAACAAGAATAAGAGATTCTCTTTCTTTCCCATACCAAATTTGAAGGGCGAACCGTGCACCTCTTTCTCTTCAATTGTCACAACTAGTAACATTTGAATACTTTTACCATTGCTAGCTAATAGAATCACAACTCATAAAATAAGATGAATGAAAATAACAGACTAAGCACAAGGTGATCATGGCAAAAAAAAAATCATTAATTGTTATTTTTATTGCATATTACATGTAAAAACATGCAATGTATATATAGCCATGGCCAACGACCGATAATTAGCTCATGGGTTGATAAAGTTAGGGAGCCTTGACGCAGGACAAGGGCAATCTTGGTAACATTCATCTTCATTAGCGTAGCATTTTTGATTGGGCATGCACCTAAAATATCCACCAATGCAATGAACAGGATTACAGCAAGGGATGATAGTAATCAGGCTCCGTACTTCTCTCTGGTCTTGTCCTGATATTACTCGATCGGCCTACACACAAAAACAGCATATTGAAAAATCATAATTGTTATTCAATCAAACGCCTTAACAAAAGATAATTGAAATTAAAAGAAACACACATTGGTGAAGAGCACAAAGGGTTGAGAGGATGAAGAAGAAGAGGGCAAGATGCATTGTCTTCATGATGGCGGCGGTTTGGTCGTATTGAAAAATTGCAAGCCTTCGAGTTATTTATAATGTTTAAGTTCATCAATAATGGAAACATAAATTATTTTGTTAATAGTGATAATTAGGAAAATTTTAGTACCATACAAGAAGATTAAAATGATCTGAAGAGATTTAACAAGAAATTGTTCTTATTAGTTTACGAAAAGAATACAAGTTCTTTAAGAAATTTTCAATCTTAGGAATCAATTATAAAATCACCGCGGACTTTTGAATTATGCTAAATATATTTGTATAATTTTAGTGGTATATTAAATTTAACAAAGTTCCCTTTGCAATTGGAAGGCAACCCGGATTGGGGGCTGTGACCAAGTCAGCGCTGATGAGGCCCCGTATATATTTGGCGCTTATTTTTTACTCCAATTAAACTCATTAGTTTAGCGGGTGAGGTTTGGATAAAATATGTTTCTAGCAGATTCATACTGTCTTTGATGAATGATATTTTCATTCACTAAAAATGTAGTGTTCAACTATTTTACTGGGTCATAAGAGCAACTCCAATGGGGAGGATACAAAATGCAGCCTCCCTAAAGCATATTCTTGGGCATATGCTTTTTTAGAGGGGAGCACTCCAATCACCCCCTCTATATGAAACTCTATTTGCATTTTTAATTGATTTCTTTTATAATATTTTAAATAGATTTGAAAATATAAAAAATATAAAATGTTAAAAAATTATATGAATTAATTTAAAATATAAAATATATTATAAATTAATACTAAAAGTATAATATATAATATACTCATTATTTAAATAAAATTAATTATCTTTAATAAATTGATAATAAGACATAGATAAGAGCCTTTAAATTTTAAAAAGCATAAAATATAGCATAATATTTAGAACAACCTTCACAGCTACTCCGAATGATAAAATTTTATAAATTACATTCAGCGGCATTACATAGAAAAATAAAGTACATGAAAAAAACTAAAAATCGGGCAGACCATTTCCTCCATATCCACCGCTTCTGTAGTCAGGTATTCCGTATTGACTTCCTGCATAACTATATTCAGGATTAGGAATATCAGATGAAGAACCTCCGGTTGTGTTTCTATTTAAAATCTCTTGTTTTTTAATTCGAAAATACTCGCGTTCCGAAGGATCAGTAATAGTATCAAGATTAATCAACATAATCTTACTTTCCTGGCGTTCCCTTTGAATATCTAATTTTTTCTTTTCGTTTTCGGCCCTTAACATCATAATCTGGTGCATTGCTATTCTATCATTTTCTCGTTCTCCATGACTTTTTTTTTAAATATCGACAATTTCTTAATTGCTTTTATTGAGAGTTTCCAAGTCGAGGTTGGATTCAGTTGCCTGTCGCCTCCTCATCTTCTCTTTCTTCCTTCCTGTCGATCGACTTGCTATCATATCTTCGCCATTATGAGTATATTCCTCATTATCGTCATTTAAGTCGACGACAGGAGAACTTGAATCTGATCCCTGAGATGAGCGGGACTTTGAAGTTTTGGAAGTTGCAGGCGATCTGACACTTATATTTGCCCATTTCTCTGCATCTTTTAAAATTGACCAAACATGATCAAATAGAAACCCCTTTCTCTCTTCTGGATCTTCTGCAAATATTATCCTAGCACGTTTAATCTACCACAAGAGAGGAAGAAACATTTATTAATAACATGATAGTAGATGATAATCAAGATTTATGTTATTCAAAATACTTACAATGTCAAGCTCAGAAGCACCGCTTGGATTTAAACGCTCGACTTGTCGAATACATCCTCGAAATTTACTGATGGTCTTCATAATTAATTGCATTCGGCATGAAAGAGACTTCGGAGTCCTTTGAGCATTACAAATATTGGAAATCCTTTCATGAAATAAAGCAGAAATTCGTTCCCACAGCTTGTCCTTCTTTTGATTAGAACCCATGACTGGATCTTGAGAAATTTCGAGCCACGTAGCGCATAAAACTTGGTCTTCTTCTTGTAAAAAAGATTTTCCGCGACTAGATGCCATAATCTAAGGAGGAATGTAAAGAGTTATGAATATAGAATAAGAAGAGTTGTGGTGGAGATATGAAAATTGTGCAAGTATTATATAGGGATTAGATGTGGGGAGTCTCTAACACCAGGAGAATCCAATGTGGGGAGTCTCCAACACAAAAGGAATCTGTGGGGGTGAGAAGCCAATGCTGAAAAAAATCCAATGTGGGGAGTATCCAACACGAAAGGAATCTAATGTGGAGGGGGGTGAGAAGCCAATGCTGAAAAGAATCCAATGTGGGGAGTCTCCAACACGAAAGGAATCAAATGTGGGGAGTGATGACACGAGTTGGCACTTTCTTTGCTACCCGTATTCCACTTTCTGTGTTTTCTGGTCAAACCTTCATACAGTTAGGACCACAATCAATATCCCCTCTCGATTCTCCCAACGAACGAGAGGTCCACTTTCAAAATCGAGTGATCAAACCTTCCGACAGTGGGGTGAGAAGCCAATGCTGAAAAGAATCCAATGTGGGGAGTCTCCAACACGAAAGGAATCAAATGTGGATTGTCTCCAACACCAGGAATCCAATGTAAGGAGTCTCCAACAAGAAAGGAATCCAATGTGAAGAGTCTCCAACACTAGGAGAATCCAATGTGGGGAGTCTCCAACACAAAAGGAATCCAATGTGGGGGTGTCCAACACTAGGAGAATCCAATGTGGGGAGTCTCCAACACAAAAGGAATCCAATGTGGGGGTGAGAAGCAAATGCTGAAAAAAATCCAATGTGGGGAGTCTCCAACACAAAAGGAATCCAATGTGGGGGGTGAGAAGCCAATGCTGAAAAGAATCCAATGCGGGGAGTCATATTATATAATGACATTACATCCATCTCTAAATAACTCACAACTTATATGATTATTTCTATAAATAACTTCTTCATCAATGAACTATGGAGCCG